TCTTCCAAGCAAACCTCTTAACAGGAAGGTTTCGAGCACGCGTGTCTGTCGGGGACCAAACCCCGGCCGACCGATCTTTCACGACTTTAGTGGGTGCTTGGCAGGGTAACTCCGGTGCACAATGACTCCACAACGTGGCTACGACCAAAGAAGAACTGGTATCAAGAACAGGGCGCCTGAACAGGCGCTGCGTGGCTGGGGGTTTAAGACAAACCCGGAGAAGTCGCAGTTACCCGCGAACGATGTTCTTGGGTTCTACTTAACCGTTCTGCTTGGCCAATAACTCACTGACGATACCACGCAGGGAGCAAAAATCGATCGCGGCGCCACTCCGTACCGACCCCCTTCATCCGCAACTACCTAGAACACCCAGTTCGAATACGGCCGCCATCGAGCAGTGCCGGTGGTCTAATGTTAGGTGGCGCTGAGCTGAGCGATGAGACCCAAGTTCGAATCTTATTTAATGTCGCTTTGGGTTGTGGGTATGAAAAGAAGAGAGTGAAACGTCCACTGCCGGGGCTCGAACCTGGGTCCCACGAGTGACGGCAGGCTCGGGAGTTTTTGGCAGGAGTAGGACTCGAACCACCGTATTCTAGGTCGTCGCAGATATTGTGGTAGTGTGGAATCGAACCCAGGACTTCTTCCACCCTAAGGAAGAATCATGCCAACCGCCATGCCTGAACCACGTCACCCAGTTTTTGGCAACGTTATTCACGGGCTGCTCTGGGAATCGAACCCAGGACTTCTTCTCCCTAAGCAAGAACAAGACCACTAGACCAAACAGCCAACTGCTACGCTGTCAATTTGGGGAACCTGAATGACGTCACCCAGTTTCGGCAACGTTATCAACGGTCTACGTGGTGAACTCCATTGGTAACTCCTTATCAGTCGCGCGCGTCTCACGGCGACAACTCCGAGACTTGTCTGGCGGGGGTCGGCGGTAGTAGAGGGGGTGAGTTGCATCCGTTCCAAAGTCATCATCGTTCCTCTCCAATGTTCATCCCACAAAAATTATCTATTCCCACATCCC